TGAGTAAATTTGCCTCGAGATTTGCCTCATGTTTTCCTGTGGAAAACCTCAAAAATCTTCCAGAAAATTAGGATTGACGAAAATCCACAGAATCCAATCTTTACTTTTCTTATTTTCGGAAAAATTTTCCTGGAAAAACCTCGAAAACCTGGAAAAACAGAGGGAAATTAACTCAAAACTGAGTTCCTGTACTTTTTACGATTTATGAGTGAACTAAACTCAAATTTGGGTGTTCTCATTTGCCGTGTAGTGCTGACTCGGACAAAACAGTGCTAACATTTGAAAACGGCACAAAAGCCATTTCTCGATGAACATTTCAAATGGTCCTATCTGCTTTGATCGATTCTCTTCATCGACTTTCTCTTTTCATAACCACTGCTATGCAAACAGATTTCGCGCTAATTCTACCACATAGTTTGATAAAGGAGGTTCTTATCTAGCGTCCAAAACGTCAAATACAACAGGGACAGGTTTTTCAGCTGAGTTATTAACGAAAGAGAAAGTCGATGAAGAGAATCGATCAAAGCAGATAGGACCATTTGAAATGTTCATCGAGATTTGTAAACAAATGGTTTGTGGGCCCTTCACTCACTACTTGAAGTACACCCACGCGACACAACAGCAACATCGGGTAGGGGAAATTTTCCCCTTCCTGACGATGCTGTTGGTTTGCGTGGGCGTTCTTCGGGTAGCGAGTAAAGGGCCCACAAACCATTTGTTTACAAATGGCTTTTGTGCCGTTTTCAAATATTTATTTCAACAGGTTCGTAATGTAATATCCTATCGATTGGCGTATTTGGATTTTAATTTCATCTATAAATGACAAAGTTACAAGCGTTCAAAACCTAACACTCCTTCACCACACATATTTTTTGACTTGCACCCCTAGTCGACAAAGACGTAGTTCTACGTCAAAATACCCATTTTCAAACCATGTATGCAGCTGTCAAAAAATGGGGGAATTTGGAAATCATAAAATGGGTGAAAAAATACCCATTTTATGAATCAGTTCACGATTGCATAATGGGTATATTTTTTACCCACTAATGGGTGAAAAAACACTTCGAAATTTTATCGTCTCATTCCGTCACCGACCATTTAGGAATGCAAACACCCTAATAAACGGGTACCATAAACTAACGATATCATAGATGGTAGGAACATACCACATAAAGTTCGGATGATATCCCGAATTGGTAGTTAGGCGCATCTTATGGTTATTGTTTATGTGGGCAGTTTCTGTCCGCTTTTTTTTTAGCAAAAATGGACGATCTCCGGAAAAGGTTAGATTCCGAAACATTGGAGAGGCTTACGGATAAGTCTATTCAGTTTTATCCAATATGGTATTGTAATATCTCGTGTAATATTTTTTTTTTTCGCTACTACTGCATTTATTTTCAATGTAAATATTTGAAAGTTTTTTATATCAACGAGGACAAATAACCCAGCACCAGCATCCTCCATTTGAAGCAATGGGTAGTTTTTACCCATTTTACGAAAAACACAATTTAAGAAGATGGGTAAAAAACACCCATTTATTGACAGTTCCCCCTTTTACCCATTAATGAGTAAACCATAGTTTACCCATTAAATGAAGAGGGGCACTTTTAGCGGAAATGGGTGTTTTTATACCCATTAATGGGTTTTTGCGAAACACCGTGAAGGGCCTCAGGGACTCTAGTTTTCTTTTGCGATTCAGCTAATAAACCCCAAATAACGCGAATTATTGACAGGTCAACATCAGTTGTTTGTAATGGAACGTCGATCTGACACCTACACCCTGAATAATTTTGGTATACGCTAATGCAGCAGCGATGTATATAGCTTTACTTCAAAAATGAGAACGACAATGACCTTTCTGTCGTTCATAACACGCACACTTGCGCAATCCCATTTTCAAGTGCGAAGTTTGTTATCCTCACTTTCGCTTCAGCCAGATATGCTGGTTTGTTATTGTTATCCTCACATTCGGACCATCAATACTCGAGCGCATAGAATGTACCGAGGAATGCATGCATGCAGGCTGCGCCGGCCCATGCAGGGTGGCCAGATGGTTTTCTTCGTTTGCCTTGGAATTAATATTATCGTTTCAAATGAAAACCTCGTTGAAAACGTTCTGTATACGTTAAACATAACGTCGGACATAGTGTGCTGTATTCGTACACTGATGCGCTATACAGCACACTATAGAGATTGCTGACGTTTATCGTACGCACACTACGTCACGTATACGTATACGCAAAATGTTTTCATCGGGAAAAAAAACTTCATAGCAGAAAATTTTCTCGATGAAAACAAATCACTGACACAATCATACTTTAGCAATCTCTATGGCCGATCGGTTTCAATTGAAACGATAATAATCAATTAAAACACTAATTAACTCTTGCACTGTAACGTCACCAGGGCATTTGTTTTACATACAAATAAACATTGACCACAGGGCATGCCACAATTTCCTTCAGTGATTTGAGGCTATGTCAGTCGTGTAAGAGTTAATGATGGTAAGCTCTACCTTGTAATCGCAATGTGCTATTTTATATGATTGCGCCGAGAATTGCGCATTGGGCACATTTATGAGATTATGAATGCGGAAACACTAATAAAAGTGCGGTTTTATGTTAAATTGTTGTTGTGTCTTCATCGCACTTATTCCTTGGTGAATGAATAATAAGTGCGCAGAAGGCGTCAAGACGATACAACGTCTAAGTGCACTTTTATTAGCGTCTCCACTCTTCTAAAGAGTTCAATTTTATTTGCAATTAATAATGTCACAAAACTATGCATAGGAGGCATCACTGCACTGCAAGCCTCTTTTTATTGTTGTGTCATAGGATGTATTCTAATGTTTTATGCGTGCAACAATTTACATCGTTATGAAGTTTGATTCTAATGTAACGTTAGGTTCTGTTGTCATTGGATGTATTCTGATGTTTTATGCGTGCAACAAATTACACCGTGATGAAGTTTGATTCTAATGTAACGTTAGGTTCTGTTGTCATTGGATGTATTCTGATGTTTTATGCGTGCAACAAATTACATCGTTATGAAGTTTGATTCTAATGTAACGTTAGGTTCTGTTGTCATTGGATGTATTCTGATGTTTTATCCATGCAACAAATTACATCGTGATGAAGTTTGATTCTAATGTAACGTTTGGTTCTGTTGTCATTGGATGTATTCTGATGTTTTATGCGTGCAACAAATTACATCGTGATGAATTTTGATTCTAATGTAACGTTAGGTTCTGTTGTCATTGGATGTATTCTGATGTCAAATTTTACATCGTCAAGACGTTTGATTCTGATGTAACGTTTGAGGCTAATGTATTTTTATGTACTTGGACGTCACACTGAAGTCTGAATACATTAAGGGTACAGCAATACACGTTAAAATTTAATGTATTGAAGATGTCTGCTGATGTTTTCTACATTACAATTTCTATTCGGGTCCTCTTAGCAGTATGTGCTTTGTCTCCGCTTATCTATGGAATCTATTGGAAGATTGCCGTAAAAGCTCAACGCAGATGTCGCCACTGCATGATGATGATAATGTTGACAGACTGCATATAAAATTCGTGAAAATTAGCGTTAAATCATAATTTTCATAAAGCCTGTGTAAAATCCTTCCAATATAACATTCGAATTGAAGAAGAAAACGTTTTTACGATCAGACTGATGTGCATCTTTGACTTTTCCAGATGAACTTTCATAAGATATATTCATTTCATTTTGCGGCTCCATCAATGCACGGAGAATAAATTATAGCAGACGCAATTATTTTTCCGGTCAAAATAACTATATTGTTCAATTGTTTTAGAGATAACCCGAAACTATAGTTGATTTGACTATATATAGAAGGCAACAACTATAGTCCATAGTTGGCTCCTCGGTTGGCTCAACTATATTTTTCAGTAGATGAACAAACGTTAAACTTTAAAATACAACTATGTTTTAGTTGATTCAAGAAAACTATTGTTAGGAAAGCGAAATTTTACAATGTTCATTAAACGAACTGCTCTTCATTATCGACATATTAAGGAAGTTTGTTTTGCTTCTTTATCGATCTCAAAAACACACTGCAAAATCATAAAAAGGTGAACAAGAACATTCAGCTTAGATTTGAACCGTGTTCATCTGCGTGAGAGCCAGCTATGTTATCGCCTGCTCTACGCATCACAAGTTAAAAGTATGTGGATTTATGATGATCACTTGAAACCAAATTATATCAATAAATTACATTTGACGGTTGTTATAATTGATCAAAGTTATAGTTGAATTGAGGATAAGATGAACAGTTGAATCTATTATGTAGATATGATTGAGTTGACGGTCAAATTAATGTTGGAATAACTATAGGTTTCTTTCAAATAACAATATTTTTCCATGTGAAAGTAGCTATTAGGAATGTTATCTTAACTTAACGAATTTGTTCTCCGTGTGCTGCATCGTAAATATGATGTAAACAGAAGTAAATTGCTCAATTACTCAAAATAAAGATGATTTGTCATCTTGTTATCACTTTGAAAACCATCTAGCACCATTTTATAGTATGGTGCGTGTTGAGTAAATCAAGTTCCATTGCGTTTTCCGCGAAAATTGTGTATCAATATGTTTGCTAAGAAAAGGCCAAAATGAACATTTATTGAATATTGGCGTCCTATACAACCAATTTTCCATTACCACCAGCATGATACAACCTTTCCTAAGTAAATTCACTTAATTTCCACTTTCATCTTAGTGGAAATCGCACATATTCACCATTTTCCGAAAAGTAGTAAGTATTCATTTTTGAGTAACAAATACTCATAAATGGGTAATATGTTTACTCATTTAATGGGTAGTCCCAATCTCCCTCGAAAATGCTTACTTTGTAGTCATTATTGGGTATTTTGCGGTTACCGTGTAAGGGATGAAAAAGATCGATCTTCCAAAGATCGATCAAAAATCGCCCAATCTTACCTCCCTTCACTATTTTATTTTTGCATTTTTCGTATTCCATGGAAAGTTGTTGTGCTTTGTAGTAACGAACAAATTGCTTGTTATTCGTGTAATTTTAAAAGTTATCCGAATGAAATAATTGCAAAATACTATCAAACTCGAGAAGTTTATCGCCATCGGTTAGTAATCTCAGTTGTTAAATATTTTTTAACCATTTTTTTTTTCTTGGGAAATCAAAGGGAAGCTCTTGTGAAGACGCCTTTGCTGCAGGTATCCGTAAGTCAGTCCCATCTGCATTTTTATCGATTTAGCGTTAGCATCATTATTCAGTTTATTTTTTGAGCTGTGCTACTCAAAAAAGGTGTTTTGTTTAGTAAAAGTGAAAAGCAATACCAAGTCAAATTGTTGCACAGGAAAAAATAACCGCCATAGCAAAAAAAAAATTACCATAATACTTTTGTATGGTTATTTTGCTCAACGACGTGTTCGAAATATCCAAGCCATTTGTGGAATAGTTCTATCATTTGGGTTATGGCGGAGAGATAGGTGGAGAAAACAAAATACAATTCGGCAGCAGGGATTTGTTCCTAAATTATCTTGCAACCCTTGCTAGAAGCTAGCATTTCAAATGACTTGTATTTTTGATTCGATTTACGTGCAAAATAATAATTGGGTTCTTTAAGGGTGTTGAGGTAAAAGCATATGTAATCTGCGATTCTGTGACACTACCCCGAATGTCACTACCCCGAACGCCATAACCCCGAACGCCGTTACCCCGAATAGTACACTACCCCGAATGGCGACTACCCCGAAATTAAGACAAATAGAAGAACAGCAAGGGATAAATTTTTGAGAAGGAAATTTTCTTTTCTAATTAACCACTTCATTCGAGCACTTAAAATGACGTTTACTACCACTCGAACTTTGAAATAAAACATTATTTTGAGATTTTTTCTTCTAGAACTTCGAGAAAAGTAGCCAACATTTGTGCGTTTTATAATTAAAAATAGAAATTAGTTGGTCCAGTTTTGTGAAATCGCTGGTAGAAAGTCACGCCAAAACTGCTTGACAAAGTGGTCAATTTATACTGAATACAAATGATAGGATTCTATAACATTCCCCAGAAAACCATTCCCCCGAAAACCATTCCCCAGAATGCACCATTCCCCAGAAAAGCATTTCCCAGAATGAACCATTCCCCAGAAAAGTATGCCATGTATTAGATTGACTATTTTTGTTTATTATAGTCATTCCTGGAATATTCTTTCGCGTATATAAAAAGAAAAGAAAAACTTATTAGGATATGTTTATAAATTACGTAGACAGTTTAGGGAAGGGGGGGGGGGGGGGGGGTTGATGGCAATTGTGCACGGTCCATACAAATTTTAAAAATTTTGTATGGAAAATTGTCTACGCAGGGGAAGGGGGGGGGTCAAGAATCCCAAAAAAAACTGTCTACGTAGTTAATGAACAGCCTTAATGGCTCAAGGGGGTTTCCCATCTTTGAAAATATAACAATAGGAAATAATTAATTCTTTGGATATACGATAAAGAAGGGAATATTCCCTTCTTTTAATATATAAAAGAGAAAATAATCAATTCGTTAAATATATGATAAAGAAGGAAATATTCCCTTCTTTGAAAATATAACAAAAGGAAAGAATTAATTATTGGATGAACGATAAAGAAGGGAATATTCCTTTCTTTGAATATATAAAAAGAAAATAATTTATTCTTTGGATGTATGATAAAGAAGGGAAGGGAATATTCCCTTCTTTTAATATATAAGGAAAATATGTAATCAATAGCTTTTGGCAAGGGATTCGGGGTAGTGACCATTTGGGATAATAACGTGTGGAATAATGTTATAAATTTGTAATCGATAGTTCAACGTTCCATGCACCGATTTTTCAATCCATAACGAGAAATTCTTCAACTCAGGTCTAGACTCAGGTCGAACAATTCTTTGATAAGGTTTAACAGTTTCCAACTGGTATTGCATATTGAATTGGATTGCATATTAGACCCTTTGACTTTTTAAATGGTGAACGAAGTGCTCGAAAACTTGAAGGTTGTCATTTTCTAAAGAGCTTTAAAATGGTTTGGAATTGATAAATACATAGTTTCATAAAAGTAAACGTAGTGTATCATCAATTTAGTAAAGTGAAACTAATCAGAGAGTTTAATCACAGACAACAGACATAACACTTTGAAAAAGTTTTTCTTGAAAACATAGTATCTCAAAACATAGGACCTCAGTAACGACATCTCTCGGGCTTCTCGCGTAAAACAAGCTTGCTCGCTTGCAAGCTTCAAAATTCCAATAAAAAATTATCATTTAATAATATAAATATATATATATAAATTCCAAAACGAAATTTCCTTTTAAAAATGTACCCTTCTTTTGACCCCTTGCTGTTCTTTCATTTGTCTTAATTTCGGGGTAATGGCCATTCGAGGTAGTAGGGCATTCGGGGTAATGGCCATTCGGGGTAGTAGGACATTCGGGGTAGTGGCATTCGGGGTAATGGCGTTCGGGGTTATGGCGTTCGGGGTAGTGTCACAGAATCGTAATCTGCATTAAAAATGGAACCCAAACCCAAAATTTCATCAATTTTGGTACACTGGAACTATTTTAAATGAGTTTGATTACATTTGCAAAAATCACCTTATTAGTGCCCCTCGGTGTCACTTTGTATGGGAGCGAGCTGTCAGTTTGTCAGTTTAGTGTCAAACAGTGAAGTTATTATTTTGCTTTAAATCTTAATTTAAAAATCGAGATGAAAGTGTGTGGGTTCGAAAAAATATCGCTGTGCTCAGAAAACGAAGCTCTTTAACATGATGTATAAAAACCGATACATTTTTCAAAATTAAAGAACCCAAGTGATTGCATCGCAATATTTTGCACATTTCTTGGTGCCATTCATTAACCAACGAAGATCAATTAATCAATAGAGTTAGAATATTGTTTTTGGTTCTAAAAATTAGTTGAATTTGAGAAGCACACAAAACAAAGGTGATTGAATTTCTGTTCGATTGCAATACTCTCAAATTTATTCTAGTAAGAATAAGAAATCCTCGGGAAAATTCTAATATTGGAATGTTCGATTGGCTCAGATTTTGACAGTTCATTTGGCTCAAAACATTCTCTCCGCCCATCTCTCCCTCTGAGTATTTCTACTATAATCGTCCGGCCATTTTCCACAGAGATGCCGCTGTAGGAAGTGATTAAAATACCCATATGGAAATTGAGATAAGTGCGAATAATTCGCTTTCGGTGCATATTAGTCAGGGACTTTGTCGTTCAAACGCAAAAATACTTACGCAAAAAATACTTCAAATCTCCCCAAACATGAGTTGGGTAAAGAAGTGTGCGTTTGACTAGTACCACCTAGTACTGTCGCATTAATGGTCCTTCGCCCATTTTCAACTTCAATTCAATTTACATACTGCCGTACTCTAGCGAAACTATTTACCTACCATCTGCAGACCTTTCTCTGTAGCTAATAAATTATCACACTAGGCTTCATGTTAGATAGCATTTTCTAGAGTCGGTGTATAATGAGTCACGCCAAGAGTGAAGCCAAGTCTACCTATTGAACTGTCAAAGCGGCTACCTATCGTGCAAAGTAAATACACATTACGATGCTATGAAAGGTTCACGAAAGGTATTGCAATAAAATATAAAATATAATCGAAGAAATGAGCACAAACACGCAGTGAGCGTTAAATTGTCATGGGATACGCTCGGTAATGATTAGTAATGTAAATTTCTACTATTTTTTGTTAAGATAATTTGACAAAATCACTGATATAATGATTTACTACAGCCGCAGTATTTTTTCTCTCGCTAGAAGTCAGTTGAAGTTGTTGTAGAAGTCCTCTGTTGCCAAGTGAAAAGAATTGGAATCTTTCGAAAACCGTGATGCGAGTTCAACTGTTTTTCTCTTGGCGTGACACATTATACACCGACTCTAGCATTTTCAACCAACAGAGAAAATATTTTTTTTCTTTTAAATCTTTTTACGCTAAAACTGTTCATTGCTGACATGCACAGTTGTACACATCACCTGCTCATTTGTTAATAACTTTTCACTCAGCTGTTGAAATTTGTTTTTCTTTAAAGTAATTGATAGACTAGGATCATAGTTTACCACAGATATACAAAGAGTAGGTAAATCTTAACATCAATGAATTTTTACACTTGTCCAAGATGTGCAGCGAGCATTTCTCACTTCATTTTTACAACGCAAAAACAAATACAGTTTATAACTAGAATTAAAATCTTTTTTTACGTATCTATAACAAGCTTAAACTCTATTCTATCGACTACTACAAAAAGAACTATGTTTCGTCAACTGTGTGCAAAGTTATTAGCAAATGAGCAGCTCGTGACCAAAACTGTGTATGGCAAGTATGATATTATCGGTTGTTTGGCAAGGTTGTTCAAACCACCCCGACAGGGGGCTCATTCACCCCAACGGGTTTCAGTTTTAACGAACAACGTAACGAACATTTTTTAAATCTTGTTTAAACTTAAATCATATTGGTCACTTTTTTAAATGATTTTGTTCACTAATTCGCTATTTTTATTGCTTAACACTACTACCCTGCCATTTCCAGACAAGAATGGATACGATTCACTGTAATGATTGGAATGAGTTTTTAGACCTTACGTGCAGTCTAGCAAGATCATACTTACCGTTCGAATATTTCAACTGGTCGAGCTCGGACAAGGAATCGAGGATGGACATGTCTTCTGTTTCAACACAGGCGACATTCAACTGTTCGGATCTGACAGATGATCGAGATGAACTACAGCTCATGCGGCGACAGAGGATGAGCATGAACAAACACAGGCATCTGATCAACTTTCTAGAAGGATTAGATTCTGATTGGGAAGTTACGGCCGAATATGAATGGCAGGATTATATTGAGGAAACGTCACGTAACTCTGGACAAACCATGCATAGATCAGAAGCCATCGACGAAAATGTACTTAGTAGTATTGCAATGGTACCGACGGACATCGAGGATACACAGGTCTTGCAAGCAAAAAAGCACGCTAATTTGTTGTTTACAAGGTGCTGTCGAACTTTGGAATACCTGGAGGCTATCGAATCCGAAGAATGGGAAATTAGAACCCCAGCTGATCTCAATTCGAATGAATCACCCTTGGCTCTTCAATTAGAGTCGAGACGCGATGATGATATGTGCCACTCAGCGAGTAAATGCTGTGTTGGAGTGGCAGTACATAAGTCTATTCAGGAGCATTCAGATTCTGTTAAAAACATAAGCTTCGTACGCAGCCTGGATACAGAATTTCGGCGTATTTCCGAAGTAAAAGAAGAAGACGATTTAATAATTCTGTCATCAAGCCTCGAAGATGAAAATGAGGAAGCTACAACCAATAAGGAAGAACCTCCAGCGTGCATTCGCATATCGCAAGGCCTGGACAACGAGTTTGCGTCTATTAGCAGCGAAAACGACGTTATTATCCCCTCATTGAGATCTAGTAACTCTGAACTAGAGAAGGATACAACGCCTCGAACTTCGGGAGGCAATGTTTCAAACCCAAAAGAACCGCAACCAGAAAATCCAGTGGATGGTTCAGATGTCCAGTGCCGGGACAAATATTTAGAAACACGGTTCCAATTGTTGGTATTGGATTGCACTGTGGTCCCTAAACAAATTGCCGAGGTTGCTATCCCATCAGAATCGAGATGTTCTGTTTCCGCTTCTGTTTACACAACACGAACACAAGATTGCAGTGTTCCAGTTGCATGTGCTGATTTTAATAGAACACATAAGGTAATATAAATAATTGTCTTCTATCTTGACATCAATAAATTATTTTACTGCAATCGTTTTCGTTAGGTGTCTGTTACCGATCAGAATTCGCCAACGGGAGTCGTAGTTCTATCTCCGGATGATCCGCTAGGATTCCAGCATCTCACGTGGCAGGAGTCTACCTCTCCTGATTCAACCCTAACGCCGGTTGTATCGCCGGTGGAACTCCCGCAATCGAATGATCTAGGTACTGCTAGTACTGTAAGTGAATTTCCGTTTCAACTCCCATCCAATCGAAAGTATACTCATCCAACGCCACCTGCTTCACCAAAGAAAACGCCACGAACTTTGGACAAGGATGAAAGCTTCGAAGGTAATTTTTACTGGTCATTGACAACGGTATTTCGATGATTTTATTCAGTAAAATGAAAAAAAAACTGATCACATTCACGATTGAATGAAATCTCCCCAAAAGAACCAACATTTTTAGAAGAACTAATAAGTGAAAGATTATACTAACTGACGCTATACGCATAAATGTCCCATCTTTCATGCATTCATTATGGACCATGGGACACTTCTGTGCATAACGGCAGTATAGCCAACAATCAATACGAAATTATCGATTTTAAATTGGCTCACTACTTGACTACCCTCAAAGATATCTAATTAACAAGATATCCCACTAATCAATTCCTCATACAAGGCATATAGTTACCACCCTTCGCAGTGCTATCTGTTGAGTGCACATTGAAACTGTTGGGAGTTCCCCACCAACTTTACCACCAGGGCTCAATAACTGACAGATGTCAACGCGTACGTTGATGATGAGCCGAGGGAAGAGGACGATATCACCCTCGAAGTCATCATCATTATATTGCGATAGCAAGATTCTTACTTGTTTGTGATTGCTTCGATTTTCAATCATTACCACTTTATACGCAACAGAAACACTTGAGAAGATAATCACACATTCAAGCGCGCATCATGATGTGCTTGTAATATGTTTTGCTTTCAAGTGAAAGAGTTTCCAATGTACCACCGGTATCAGTAAGATGCAAATCTCTAACAGTAATAGGCGAATCCAATAGAAACTAAGAATAGAGCTGGTGTTCCCTTTGTTCCGATGTTGAATAATACCGAACTGTCAAACTGCATAGTTTTTTCTCGCTATGACAGTTGTGTCCCTATTAGATGTAAGGAAAAGATGTTTCGACAGCGAAGGCAGCGCTATTCTTCCTCTATAGTTTATTAGCTCTATTAAACTAAGCAATTGTTTCAGCCTCTGTCAGTAAATAGGGGAACCCTCAAAGAGTGATGAGGGTGGAAATTTTCACCGTGAAGCATAGAGAGAGGACAATATTTTCGCATTTCCTTATTTATTTATCCACCGCAAGTGCTTGAAATCATCATCCACGTGGAATATTTTGTTTTCCTCTCGGTTTTCTGTATCGGGTTTGCAGTGATCCGGCTGGTGCTTCCATATATTTTTGATGAGAAAAATTTGGATTACTAAAATTGTCTCAGCGGTTATGATCTTCCGGATTTTTAATGTGTGATTATGTCAGCTGTTAATCTGTTCAGATCTGTAGGTAATCCAAAAATAAGACCACTCCCGATAGAAATTTGCAAGTTGTGCAATAAAATGTACATTATTTTGAGTTTTAAAAATCGTCATTATGATGTAAACAAATGGATTGGATGACATTTCCTCTCAAAATCGGCTAGCGCGCTCTACATCGATGGTGCATGGAAAGAGCCTATTGATGATTTGCGGAGCTGTTCTTCAACATATGTAATCTTAATAAGCATAGAAGTAAACATAGGAAAAACCCCTTCCCTCTCTCTAAATTATTCCAACAACCCAACCACTGGAAATGCAAAGTATCGAAATCATTGCTAAACGTAATATAATATGCTGCATTCTTCGGCCAACGCAGCACGCATTTCATTCAAAAATTACGTTGGAATACTCATTACTTTCCTATTTTATAACGTAGGAAGTATTTGAGGCATAACATCTCTAATCACGCGAAGTAAAGCCGTTGGTCCCCGGTCCATGAGTTGATGGGTCGCTAGGTAGGGTCCAGGTGTGGGAGCTGCCTCCCTGGCGTCGGTAGCATTGGTGCTCAGCACGGAAAACAAGATCGACGGAAAACAAACCAAAGAAAAAAAAAAGTATTTGACAACACCGGTGAAAACAAACGCAAACGGGAGTAGCCGTAGCTGAATGATTACGATGAGTGATGACACCGCTTCGTGTTTTCATTTGCGCTGTACCGTCCGCTCAGATGTGTGGGTTCGTACATGTTGGTGTGCGTGTTTTCTTCCAACGCAGCAGTTCAACGTTGTCTCGTCGAAAACCATTTGGCGCTGTAACTGTCTTTATAAATTCCAAAGAGTGAAGGGGGTCTGCTAGCCTATTGGTCCCAAGAAAATCGATTAACATACCCAATTCTAGTCGAAATTCTAGTACTACACAATATTTGTTTTGATTTGTCATGAAAGTTTGACAGATAAAATGAGGGGCTCGTGGATTTTCCTATGTTTCGAGGGGTGCATCGATTAGTTTGGGACCGAAGATAGTACCAGAGCTGAGCCAAAAACTTGAGCACTTTTCTTCGGGACCTACTAGTCTTAGACTTACCTCTATGGTATATGGTATATGGAAATAAATTTTGAAGGTCGGCTCAGCGCAGTTTAACCAACAATCAATACGAAACTAACGATTTTAAATTGGCTCACTACTTGACTAGCCTATTGGTCCCAAGCAAACGATTAACGTATCCCATTCTAGTCAAAATTCTAGTACTACGCAATATTTGTTTTGATTCGCTATGAAAGTTTGACAGATAAAATGAGGGGTTATTGATTTTTCCTATGTATCGAGGGGTGAATCGATTAGTTTGGGACCGAAGAGAGTACCAGCTGAGCCATAAAGTTGAGCACGTTATTTCGGGACATTCTAGTCTTAGAGTTACCTCTATGGTTTGACTTACCTACGTAAATACATAACAGGTAGAACGGAAAATGGTTGAATCCATACATAATTTCGAAAACAGTAACTATGTCTAGATACAGCTGGAATTAGGGCGTAACAGCTTTTGTAAACAATGACTTCTCTCGATGATTTCTAGAAAGTCAAGGCGGGAAAGCTCAAATTAACATCAGCATCGGGTAGGGGAAGTTTTCCCCTACCCGTTGGTTATGTTGGTTTTCGGGGGTTTGCTTTGAATTCCGAGAAATCGAGAGAAGTCATTGCTAACAAAAGCTGTTACGCCCTAATTCCAGCTCTATCTAGAAGTGATCTCAACTATTTTAAGATTTTTCATTAAACTTTCAAATCCTTTATCTCACAAGCTTTTCAAAGTCTACAATGCCGTTATTGCAAGATTCATTAACAGTGCCAAATAACGAGTGAAAAAATAAAATTTGGAAAACACGTCAAATATCGAATCGATCACATTCGATCCTCTCCGATTTGCTTTAAACTTGTTTGTTATGGCCATTCATTTACATTTGTGCTAAAATTCGACCATTAATGTGCATTTTTTTTTTCAATATAGTGTATTCGACATTTTTCCAAAATTCGTAGCACGAAATCGTCACTTCTAGTCAAAATGACGCCTAAGACAATGTTTTTTATTCAGGGGCTTACCAACTGTACACTCCGAATATCACGTACCTGGGTCTCTATTTAGAAAACTTCAAATGCTACGTGACGTTAGTAGCTTTGACCTGCATTACACGTCATATGCACTAAAAATTGGTAAAATCGACGTAAACAGATTTAGTGTGTTTGGGTCTCCGACATGTTCGCGAAACGAGATTTACGTGATTTTCTGCATGTCTGACAAATAAATATGGCGTCACTGAGCGAGGTAGAAGATATAAGATAAATAATTTTTAAACAGCTTGCTTCAAATATTGGACGGTAATGTGATTCTTTTACACAATTTATTTTTTATTACAGCCATCTGTGCCTTGTTCTATTTGTATAATTTCAGAAGGTGGAAACAGTGTTTTTAATTTGATAACTGTTGTTAATATTGAGGTATTTCCCAAAAATTTCACGTTATTGCTCGTGATCAATTAAAACACCAGAAATATCAGATGTATCATCAAAGCACACTTTTATTTGCGATTCCGCACTTTTGAGGAGTCCAATTTCAACTGCATAATGCAATAATCAGGGTGACCAGTTAACCAGTTATGTTAGTCTGGAACGCGCAAAAATTGGTCAACTTCAAATTGGTGTATTTCTGTTAAAAATGTATAAAAAACTTGAAATGCTGCATTTGGTGCAGCAAATGGTTGCTATGATGAGTTTTCACCGTTTGCTCTCCAGTTTTCAAAATGACGTCCAAGCAAGAGGAGCAGCGTGTCAAAATTTTGCTCGCGCAGCAAGAGAATCCGAAGTTCTCACACGCCAAGTTGCCAAAATTGCTGGATGTGGCCAAATCGACCGTGACAAACTTTTTAAAAGTGTTCGGGGAGCGTCTGTCGACCGCCAGGAAGCCTGGAAACGGCGGCAATCGTAATCCGGACGTGGCAGCGACGACGAAGAAGGTGGCGGTGAAATATAAGCGGAATCCTAACCTCTCCATCCGGAACGTCGCTGGCAATCTCAATGTCTCCCATACTACTGTCCAGCAGGCCAACAAACGAGCCGGGTTGTCGACGTTTAGGAAGGTGAAGGTGGTGAACTAAAACACGTCGGCAAAGCAGCGGTCCCGAAAGCTGTACTGTACGAATCTGCTCACAAAGTTAGACGACGAAACTTATGTGAAGGCGGATTTCAAGCATCTTCCGGGACAGGGGTTTTATACCGCATCAGGAAAAGGGAAGGTGGCTGAAATTTTCCAAACCATCAAACTATCGAAGTTCCCGAAAAAATATCTCGTCTGGCAGGCCATATGCACGTGTGGTATAAAAAGCGGCATTTTCATTACTACGGAAACTATCTATCAAGAAATCTACGTCCAGGAGTGCCTGGAAAAACGGCTGCTATCATTCCTAAAGCAACATAATAGATCTGTGCTGTTCTGGCCGGACTTGTCGAGCTGCCACTATGGGAAAAAGGCAATCGAGTGGTACGATGCGAACAACGCGGTTGTTGTACCCAAAGACCACAACCCTCGGTATTGGACGGTATTGGACCTTGGTCAAACGTAATCTAAAAAAAACTAATAGGGTTAACTACCTCATTCCCGGCATATTAAGCACAACCCGCACTTAGTCTTACTTAATTTAGCGGATTTCAGCACCAAACGGAATGTTATTATTACAGATGACTTCCAAATTTATTTACCTTTCCGTATGTACCGTTATTTCTTTATTGTTGAAAATGCAAAACTGCTTCTGGAGGCTCAACTTGGCCTACGGATTTTCTTGGGCCTATTAGCCATTGAAACGCCATTGGGATTCTCTTTGGCCTATCGAACGGAAAGAAAAGTGAATTCGCGTGCGCAATTTTTACACTTCAGGTGCACCTTTTGTTTTCGAGATCTTATTTTGCGTTCTTCAACACTTCGTCTTGCAGCTATTGAATAGAAGCATCGTTCAAAACGTGTGTTTGATACGTTCACGCCGCAATCATAGATATATTTGATGTTTTCTGCTCCACCCTAAATCCATGGAAAACGAGCAGTAGTTTAAATCTAACTGGCGTTAGGCGGCGAATAAGGTCGATGAGACCACTCTGTGCAAAATTTAATGCAAGGGGTTAAGCGGAAGGTACGGCAGTTCGGATTTGGCAAACCAAAATAATAAACGAACATTTTTTCCTTTAAATATATGAATTGAACTACCAAAAGAAAAATAAGAAGATTTTTGTGATATGAATTCTGACTGCTTACTTATCCTGGTCCGACATCCCTCAGGATTGCACCTGCATCACAATGTTACGCCAATTCACTCGGTCCGTGGCTGCTTGTCTCCAATTTCTTAAACCGTCCCACACTTCCAAGATCCTGCTCCAATAGGTCTAACCACCTTGCTCGTTGTGCTCCTCTTCGTCTTGTACCGGCCGGATTCGAGGCAAAAACCATTTTTGCGGGATTTTTGTCCGGCATTCTTAAAACGTGTCCCGTCCATCGTACCCGTCCAGCTTTCGTAACTTTCTGGATACAGGGTTCGTCATAGAGTCGTGCCAGCTCGTGGTTCATTCTTCGCCTCCATACACCGTTCTCTCATACCCCGCCAAAGATGGCCCTAAGCACTCGTCTTTCGAAAACACCCAGTGCTTGCAGGTCCTCCTCGAGCATCGTCCACGTCTCGTGCCCGTTGAGAACTACCGGTCTTATCAGCGTCTTGTTCATGGTACATTTAGTACGGAGGCCAAGTCTACCCGACCTCAGGGTCTTGTGGAGTCCGTAGTAAGCACGACTTCCGGCAATAATACGCCGACGAATTTCTCTGCTGCAGTTATTATCCGATGTCACCAATGATCCGAGGTACACACATTCATCCACCACCTCGAACTTATCTCCGTCGATTGTCACGCTTCTGCCTATGCTAGCTCTATTCCGCTCGGTTCCTCCAGCTAACAAATACTTTGTCTTCGACGTATTCACCTTTAATCCAATCTTCTCTGTTTCACGTTTCAGCCTGGTGTACTGCTCCGCCGACTAAATTTTGACTGAAAGAAACGATTTTTTGGTTGACCAATTTTTGCGCGTTCCAGTCTTTATAGGGGAATTTACGTATTCTCGTCAATCTAAGCAGCGTCCGCACTTCTATTAGCATTTTGTCAGCGTTACGCACATATATCACGTGTCTGTTTGTTAACATTCATCTGCTGCTTGCTTCTCTATCCATTCCAATCGACAGAATTTTTCAAACCGGTTTGAAAGCGATTTTACAACGCTCCAAACTTCTCAGGTGAGTGTGACTATTGTCGGCAGCCTCTTTTTCTTCGGCAACCTTCCCATTACAACTGCGTATTAATCAGCTGTTCTATTATCGGCAACTCGAAATCAGCCCCATTTTGTAGTGCGTATACTTCAATTGAAGAAAAATCTGGCATAATAGGATTGCTCGGTCGTACAAATATAATCAGATTGAAGCTGAAAGACTAAAGAATCGTTTGAATACATTCAGGGAAGTGTGTTGATGGGAAAACATAGTGAAATTATCGTTTAAATTTTGGTTGCCGAAAACAGTCAATGGGTGCCGAAGCCAACATTTACCCTATCTAATGTATTTATCTTCACGTTCTGATCTTCAATACCACAGAGACGACAGTAGACTGCGCTGTAGTTCCTGAAACAATACCCGAGGTTGCTATCGCAACGCAGGAATCCAAATGTACTGTTTCCCCTTTTGTTTACGACCAGAAGAATCGAACACGAGATTGCGGTGTGCAAATTGCGTGTGGAGCGTTTGATGGAGCAACAAAGGTAAAATAAGCAATAATTGTTTATTGTCTTTACATCAATATAATATTTTGCTGTACTCGTTTTTACTTTCCTAGGTGTCTGTTACCGATCCAAAATCTCTGACGGAAGTTAAACTGTCCCCTTCTCCGGACGATCCGTTTGGACTTCCACATTCCACGTGGCAGGAGTCTAAGTCACTTTCTGTTACAACTGTAACACCCGTTGTAAAGCCTGTGAAGCCGCGCCGGTCTAAGCCAAATGGAGAAGCTGCTGTTACTAAAAGGAAATCTGCACTAAAACCTGCTACGCCGACAACGAAAAGAGTGAGATACTGTCGCTCACTCAAACGGAAGCTTATTGCAGCAACGTCACCTAATCTGCCAAAGAAAGTTCAATTCAACTTGACGCCTAAAGTTATGAACCAGGACGCAAGATTAAATGGTAAGTTTTTTTTCCTTTTCATTTTGTCAGCCTTTATCCACCATCTCGGTTGACGTGAAAATCTCGGTTACTTTTGTCACATATCTGGTGACAGAGAACCTGACCAGACCAAAATATAAAGCAATAAATTTTTGTTTCGGAAATCTCATCGGTGATTATCGCACAGTAGAAATTGCAAGCATTATCGTAACACTGCTCAGTCCTCAAGAAGTGACAGAGAGTCTGTGTGGCATGTGAAGTAAAGCGACAAAAGTCACATAGTGTGATGCGAGCTTCCGTGCAAACCAAATTGGAACTACGTCACACGTGACTATTGTTACTTAACTAGTGACAGAGAATTACCTCCCAACGTAGAATGGGCCTATTTTGTTAAATCGGGTTGCATATGGTGATCTGATCACAATTTTTGCTGTTTAATGACTAGTTGGTTATCCATCCTTATCTGGCTAGGGCTATTGTTCTATGATGTGATCTGATTTCTTATTATTTTAAATAAATGTTATCCTTTCTCTGGTTCGAACAGGTTCCCCCCTCTCGTACCGCACAAATTGGTCAAAGAAAAATAACACTCCGGTGTCTGCCAACGCTAAATATGATCCGTATGACGTGTCGCATATCGACGACGATGGAGATACAACGTTTGAGAATCTTTTTACAAGGCGTCGTACAACTCCGGAGGCATCGAACAAGAAAACATCGAAACGAAACAAGAAGAAAAGGAAGGAGAAAGCTGCTGAGCCTCAGGTGTCTCCTGTTTCCGAAAGTTCAATGGATAGCATGCGATTTAATATTTTATCGATCTTGCAAGAAACTGAACAGAGCTTTAATGATGCAATGAATGTTAATCATAAAAAGATCGAGACCAACCATACAGCAACGTCAGAAACCGTTAATATCAGCGAAGAAAGGCTCACGGAAATCATCAGAACAGTGATTACGGATGTCATGAAATCCACTCGAAAACCTCGAAGACGCCGAGTATTTCGACGATCAGCGCCTCCTCGAAAAATGGTGCTGAAGAAGCTTTTCGTACCGAAGCGAAAGCCCTGCGAAGATAAGGCGGTACAGGTGTTTATTACTGAGGACAAATCCACAAATACCCTTCATAGCCCGCTGAAAAATTTGAAGCTCAGCGAGGATAAAGAAGTGCAGGTATTGTTTATTAATGATGAGAAGAGTACAACTATCAATCAAAGCCTGTTAAATGTTGACAGTGATGCCAGAACATCTCAATATAACAATAAAAACATCGAAAAGCCCAAGCATCAGAGCAGGACATACACCAAAAAAGATGTAGCGGAAAGGATAGCCACAAAGGCCTCTCAAAGCATGCCTGTTAAGCGGAATGATACAAAACTAGAGGAGAACCAGGCAATCGTCCAGCAATCCAACCGTAAGAACAGCAGAAAATCCAAAAAATGTATCACGGTACCTGTTTGTGTCAGCTCTAGCACAGTCAATAAACAGCCGATAATTGATAAGAATCTCAACAGTGACAACAATGGGTACAAACAGATGACAATGCCGCAATATCTGCAAAGGAAAACAAAAGCAGCTGTTCAGGAAAATGAGCATCAGTTTGTTCAAAACTTGCTGTCCAATGTGGTAATTTGTATATCATATCTACCTATTACTTGTTTGTATATGTCAAAAATCAATTCTACGAAAAATCTACTTCATATAGTCTTCTTCACGGCTATACTGCCGTTATACGCATAACTGTCCCATGTTCTCTGTAATCCTCATGCACCGTGGGACTCTTATGCGTATAACGGCAGTATAACAGTCTGAACAGTTGTACCTGCTCTCAACTAATGGCCTGTTTATAGATCGAAGCGTAGTGAAAAATTTAAAAGTTCCATTGATCAAAAGCACCAAAGAGTTTCGACATTAAATTTTGTCTATATTTATCCAATATTGAATGTTCTTCGCCCTGAAAATTCTAGGGTGCAATTTTGTGCATTTACGAAGCTATGACTTCTGAAAATTATGTAAAATTTAATGGTCTTAGTTCAATATCTTTGAAACGATTCGTCAGTAGTTTCGGTAGTACCTTCCGCAAATTTTCAAGTTTCGTCGGAATAAGTCAGTCAAAAATATAAAAACTTCTACTTTTGATGACGTAGTTATTAAGTGAAATACAGAATAGGGGTGAATATCTTGACAACTGAGAGCTACAAATTTGACGTCTTCTTAAGAGTTTCATATTTTTGACAAATAAACAACTTAGTCTAAGACACCAAATCTCCAGAATGAATAATTAAAAAGATTTATTTTGAATAGCATTTTATTAAAATTCATTGTTTGATCATCTAGTGGCGCCGGTGGTGTAGTGGTAAGCGTGCTTCCTGCTTACTTTCGCCCGCGCCCGTAACTTTCTTATTTCTTCGGTTATCCTTTCTGCCCTGCATTGTTGTTGTTCTAACAAATCCTTTGCTGTTAAATACGTCGCGTATTTCCGGTAGTCTTCCGTTGTGGCACTTCCGGGGCTATCACACCTGCGTACGAACTACACAGATAGAAATCCCCTTATACCTTTGGCAAATTTGTATTGCTGATTATTCATAAAATGTATAAGTCAACCAATAAACAGACGCCTTGCAAAAAAGTCAATGAAGATCATGTGTCAAATTATATGTATAAATGATCGCCATTTATGTGCTCTTATACCTCCCTGATCCTATCCTTCGAAAATGTACCCTTCTAACCTCGAGTAAGCCGCGAGTAATCGGCCCAACTCCTACTAGACATAGAATTAAGTGAATCTTGTTACACACAGTGAACAATGAATTATCGGCTCCGTAAAGCTAACGCGATTGAGCCTCCCAAATAAACGAACTAGATAAAAAAAAATGTGCTCTTATACTGCCGCTCTTCGCATGTCGTTTCCATAGTCGTTTTTGTCAAAACTGAATTTTTCAATGTAAATGATAACTAATCATCCATGTTTTCATAATACTGGATAAACTCAACAACTTTGTTCTGAAAAAGTTTGGAAAGACAGCCAAATTGGTTGTCCCATCACATAAGAACCAATGCATTGTTGTTTGAAATTTTTATTAGGGATGATCCGGGCAGAATATTTGATACTGTAGGATGGATTAAGGTTCTAGTTCTAACAAATGATCTACGGCAGAACATTTTGCAAACTTTTGCGAATTTACGATGTATTGGTATTTATTGCCTAGTCAGTGAAGGCACGGTATTACCAAGCCGGAGGCGGCGGGTTCGATTCCCGGTCCGGTCGAGGGAATCTTTCGGGTTGGAAATTTTCTCGACTTTCCTGGGCAATAGAGTATCATTGTGCTTGCCACACAATATACAAATTCATGCATTGGTATTGGCATCAAAAGCTCTCAATTAATAACCGTGGAAGTGCATTTAGAACACTAAGTTGAGAGCACGCAATAAGCTAATATGCGCTAAGCAATAAGCTTGAAATGCGAAAAAGAAGAAGAAGAAGGTATTTATTGCCAAGGTAAATATTTTATTTTGCATATGCTTGCATGCAATTTTTGAAAGTTCAGGTTCAGTTCATTGCATTGATTGTTTTAGAGTCTAGAACGTCGTATTTGAGTATATTAATACCCCGTTCACATTACAGCGTATATCACGTGATATACGCTGTCTTGCAATGAGCACTCATACATCTAGTTTTCACTGGAAATCCTATGTATGAGTGCTCATTGCAAGACAGCCTATATTACGTGATATAGGTTGTAATGTGAACGGGGTATAAGAGTATTTTTATAATCGATGATGAAATAATGTATTATATAAATTTAATTAGGTAAAGAAAAAATCAAATTGGACTTTTAGGGGGATTATTTTTTTACTTTATTCATACAATTTTACATGACAACACATTACTATCAAACCTTTAAGGTACGGTTATTAGTGAATGCATTAAATTTTACGACTTTATTCTAAAGCTTTTGGGAAAATCGACCCAAAAAGAAAGCTTTCGCATATCCTAATTGCTTGAACGATGAGATGGGTACAGAGAGGGTGTGTTTGTGTGAGAACACATTACTATCAAAATTTGAATCAATGTCAACAAAAATTCATCGATTTATAGTTTTGGCCAACTTTTTGGGTCAAATACTCCTATGTGCAATGGTATGAATCAAACTTAAAATGCGATTTTCTCCGGCTTGCTGTTTTTCGCTATGGGACGGACATGCGAAAAGCGGCAGTATATGACCTACACGCAGAGAAATGGCTTTTAATTTCAAAAATAAATCACATTGAGTAAATTGTAACAATATTTTTCTTTGATTCTATCATGACGTTTTTTGAATCAAAACAAATATATGTTGTTCCAATCACGCGCTTTTTTCTGAAACATCGTCCCCTTGGCGAGTTTTTGCACCTTGTTGCTGGTGGGCGGGCTTAATTCCATGCTTTTTAGTGGAGTGTTGGAGCCGGTAGGTTTATGGCCGGCGTTGCTGGCTCATGCCGCGATAGAATGGCGCCATGGGCAGGCAATGGGGATTACTAAGCTTCCCCTCTCTGATAAACCACTGCATGAGAGAACCAAACATCTAGTCTAGCGATGTGATGAACTAGCCTACGACTAAAAATCACAAAAATAAAGAAAAAAAAAATCTAGTCTAGCACTGATAGTATCACACTTGTTACTCCTTTGATTGAGAGCCGCGTCGTTGCACGCTTACGTATAGGCACTGACGTTGGGTGTGATACTGGCGGGTTTTGCCGCAAATCACTCTTAATTTATTTTTACGCAGATAGATTTATTTGGGTTTGCAAGGGAATTATACTATTCAAATATTTCAGAAAGTGTCCAACAGAGCTCCTTCTACTTGCGTGACAAGCAGGGATGGAAAATCATTTACATTCATTTCGTGCATTCATTTACATTCATTTGCCTCTAACTTGTTTCATCAACAGAATACCGCAAGATGATGTATGAAGCATTTGTAGCTTTTGATATTAACTACAACTGTTAATAACTAAAATCTGAATCTCTTATGCACGCGAAATAGAACATGTTATTGTTTTTCCGTGAATGCAATTTACATTCACTGAAAAACAATGGTACATTCACGCTCTGATTCATCATGCATAAGAGATACAGATTTGAGTTGTTTGCAAAAGATGTAGTTAATATCAAAGCCTACAAAAGCTTCAAACACTATTTACGCAATTCTGTTGATGAAAAAAGTTAGAGGCAAATGAATGTAAATGAATGCATGAAATGAATGTAAATGATTTTCCATCCCTGGTGACAAGCTTTAATTGTTACATTCAATGTGTTTTTATGTTACTTCATACGCGAAGTTAGCGATTTTCAGAGTTGGTTGGAAAATGCTAACATGAAGCTTTAGTGTGATAATTTATTAGCTAGAGAATGATCTTTTTTAGAAGAGGGTAGGTGGATAGTTCCGTTAGAGTACGGCAGTATGAAAATTGAATAGAAGTTGAAAATGAGCGAAGGGCCATTAATGCGACAGTTTTTAAAGATAGACGCACATCTTTGCCTAACCCGTACGATGTACGCGGAGACTTGAAGTATGTCTCCAAGTCTACAGGCAAAACGTCGGAATAGTGATGAAAACGTCGCTAGAACTATTCCACAGCCGCAGTCAGTTTATGAGCAAAAAGAGGGACGCACATTTTAGATTAAATAAAATAATTAAAATCATTTTTAGGATGTCAAACAATACAAAATTACAGTATCTAAATAACAATTTTTCATTTACTTTGTGTAATGTTGATTTTCAAGATGTCAACTGTCGATTCGCTAAAATAATTACAATTATTAATAGGGAAAAAATGCATTAAATTAGAATTTCCCTACCTATAAAGCACCGACTACTGCGCTCAAACCCAATAATTTAAATAATTCCAAATCTTCTGCATCGAGCGTTTCTAACTCCAGCTCTTCAATCACTTCATCCTCTGACGAATCATTTTTTCTGTTTCTTTGATTCTAATACGCCTTGTTTCTCTGCGTGTATGTGTTTTGTTTTATGGAATGGCAAAAATGTATAAGTGAATGTGAAACTCATGAATAAAATAATTAATTTTCGTTTCGTGTTCTATTAAAACTGCTACCGGACCGATCTTCGCGGATCTCTTCATCCTGTTTTCTTTCTTCGTACTATTGTTGCCTCTCTAACTGCTTTCGAGCCTTCCACAAAAAAAAACATGTTTTTATTTCCTGGATAGAATATATTCCCCTTCCGATTGAGAAAATGCAGCGAGGTGGGAATTTCCTTTTTCCACATCCATATATTCACCCAGAGCTGGTAAATATCACGGCCGTCATGTGACAATGAGAAAACAGGCTCTCTCACTATCACAAGACGAACTACCTATGATAGGCTTTCTTGTCATTTTCCAATGATCAAGCACTCATGACAATAATTCTTATGCGGTTTTGGCATCAATATTTCTAACTGGTTTAGATAAATTAAAGCAAGCAGTCGTATGTAGTCGGTAAAGTGAATATATTATTGAGATTTCCTCGGAACTAGTAACATTAATAGCAATAAATGAGCTTGTAATTACAATGAACACAACACTGTCACGTTCTATCATGACAAAAAATTCGATGAGATTTTGAAGAAAATCTCTATCATCATTTTCTCATCCGATGATAGTGACAGAAATATCTCTGTAAATATCGCGTGAGATCTTTCATTGAAAATGACATTTAATTACTAAAGTCGCTATATTCATAGTCTGGCGGATAGAATCCGACGCAAACTTGCACCATCTTTAGGTTGGGGAAAGTTTCTCCTATCCGATGATGCTGGTAATTTACCTTCGATTGGCGAGGAAAGAATAATCAACGTTTTGTTTATAAAAGTTGATAGTACCTTTTCAATTGTTGGTGTACAATATATTGTATTGGTTCCGCTTTTTGATAGATCGAAATTCTATCCGCCAGACTATAAATATAGCGACTATATGTATTACACCACGTAGGTACATCAGTGTTTATGACGCAGCACAGCTCAGCTGAGATTTTTTTTTTCGGATGACAAGCTTCACTTTACCGTATTTCCCTAGCAGCAACGGTAGATCGCGTTTAGGAACTTTTGGTGAAAGATCATAAACACGCACATATTGATCATAATCCCCCGCATGCGATATGCGTCTGCCTTTCTATTCGCATAATGGAAAATAAAACCTTCCGAATTAAACGTCAATATATGGAGCATCGATCCTCTGGATTTAATTTTTAAGAAGAGTTATTTCTCGTTATCATGTACACTGGAGTCGCTTTTTACGCGGGAGATACGGCAGATTCCAACAGCCGAGCAGTTCTGCAATTTATTTTGCTGAGATTCAGTAAAACAATTGCCTAGACTCAGCTAACAAATAATATTTTGCTGAGATATCAGCAAAAGTAAATGCCGAGGTAAACACCTGTTGGAGATTTTACCGAGCTAAATTAAGTGTGTACGTGCCGCGTAAAAAAAACTACCAAGATTTTGATTTTTCAGATGCTTAAATATTTTTTTATAAATCGGATTCGTAATTATAGCATGCTATGGTCCATAGACATATTTAAAAAAAAATTGTATTTACACCAAAAATTGTGATTTTTTTTTAAGTATGCCATTCGATTACCTATAGCTTGAAACGGATAATGTGATTGAAATCAAGTCGATAGGTTGTACCGTTGTCGAGAAATCGTTAAAAACGTACCGCGTAAATTGCGACTCAGCGGCACTAACCGTGTAAAAAAAAACCGTGTAAAAAAACCGTATAAAAAATCGTGTAAAAAAAACCGCATAAAAAAACCGCGTAAGTGTATGTCGCTTCCATTTGAACGGGATCCAGTGCTTATAGGAAATTTCTATTTTCACACTATGGGTTGATAGCGATTATTTTTTTGCAGAAAATAATTTGCTAGATCGATAAAAAAAAATCGTTTCAAAAATTTGGCGCTAAAAAAAAATCAAACATTTTACTAAAAGGGTGGATGGCCCTGGCGTAGTGGTTAGTGGCCATAACATTCTCGCCAATGTCACGAGTTCACATCTCAAACCCCGACAAGGGACGAAAGACCCAAGATATAAAAAAATCCTTAAAATCTATGTTCTACGATTTTTGTCAATTTTAAGTCTCTTTTGTGCCCAATATCAGAAAAGAAAATATTTTTGATAATTCAAAACTAAGTTTAAAAATAACAAAAATGTAAATTGTTTGTTATTGAAATTTTTAACAGCTTACAATTTCTTTTTTACCAAAAATTTGTAATGTTTTTAGTGTGTGTGTTTTTTTTTTCTGAAAAGACAATTCAGTTTGCTACAACTTCGTCTCAGACGACAATTCGATTTCAAGTGTCGTTTTCGTGCAATGATTTATTGAAAAACATCGAGTTCAATTATGAAACGGACACTTTTGAAAGTTGATTATACTTTTTAAATTGTATGAGGATCCTATTATTGTACTCCATGTTCATCTAACATATCTTATTATGTTGCCAAGTGGATGTAATATTTAATCAAAAATGAATTGTTCGGATTGAAATACTGTCAAGCGTAAGTCAAAATGGTCGAATTCTATCACAAATTTTACATATTGCCCAGAGAGGGTAGCGGCAGTTCATTTCTAGCAATTGAATATATTTATTTTTGGTAGTTAATTATTACAATCATGCTTTCTTTCTTTCTACCATTTCTTGTAGGCATCCTCAAAACAAAACTCAACAAAAGGTTGCTATCGTTCTCCGCAACAGTTCAACACTCAGGCGAGTGACGCGTCTAACTCGTTATCATCGACCCTGAAGCCGAGCACCATCTACTGCCCTAACGCCACCATCGTCTTCACTAGTGTTGATCAGGAGAATTCGTTTTTCCAACGAATCGACGAACTTCGTCTAAGTGGTATGCAGTCCGCCAGTTCACAAAGCGAAGTCATTCCCTCTAGCCAACCGTTCAACGAGCGCATGCGGCTTTACAGGCGTCAGTCGTATCCGAAAGTGAAAACAATTAGTCTTGCTGTGTCAGCAGCAGACACTTCAGCAGGTGATGATCTTCCTGATTTCGACAGAACTCCCACATATGACATGTTTGAACCAAAGGCTGGTCCGTTCAACGATCCGAATTACTACCCGGAAGATTTCGTGGAATACATTGCAGAAAGCATCTTGGAAGATCATAAAAATGGGAAGTTAAAGACGCTAGCAGAGCTGTATGGAGAAGAGGCTGATGAGATGGGGACTAATGATATACAATGGGGTTTGTTCTGTCCAGACGGAAACATAGACCAAAATCAAGAATCAAATGACTCAGGTTTGATTATGTCTGGCCCTTACAGAAATGAAAGCGAGAAATGCCACGAAACTGGAAGAACTAAAGAGTCTGACATCTCAGGTAATGGAGCCTGCATGAACTGTAATGACCGTCAAGCTTTTTGCAGCAGCGTAAAAGGATCGCAAGAGCCGTGCCGTTTCTCTCCCGGATTGTCACCGATCAGGTGTGATTGAGTTGGAAAATTGGCCGTTTCCTTTTCATTTCCGTAAATGGAGTAACTTTTTTAATATTTATAGTAAGGTGGGGCAAGATGGGTCAGCTTGTTCAAACCAGCATTAGGGCTACAGTAAACCTGTCGATATTGACAATCATTAAAATAATAAATTAGGTAGATGACCCATCTTGCCCCACCTTACCCTACATATTATTTTGCATTTTGACTTTTTATTTTGTTTAAGTTATTTCTTGTTTTTCTTCTTCTTCTTTTAAATGAAAACGTTGTCATTCTTATCTAATAAAGATATCTGTTTCAAGAATATAATTATTCTGTGTCATCCTTTCAAGAATGGGTTTGAAACGGAAATATTGTAGGTTCTACAAACCGTGTTGTTGTTGAAATAATGAAAACTGCCAAAAAATAACAAACAATGAGGCGTAGGGCAAGACATTCAGGGTGTCGACTACCTGAAAAAACCTGGAAAGTCAGGGAATGTCAGGGAATTCTAATTATGATCTGGAAAGTCAGGGAATGTAAGGGAATTTTAGTGTAGGTCAGGGAAAAAAATTATGTTGAACACATTGCAAAAAATCATGTGTGGAACTCATAAAAACAATCTTTGAAATTTTATCAGTGCATGACGTCAATGTTTTTGGGAAGATCCCGGGTATCAGATCTACTCGCTGAGTTTATGGACGCCCTTGCCGGTATCTCTTCGAACAAGTTGCTGCAAGTGTCCATGGATGGGCCCAATGTGAATTGAAGCTAGAGATACAAAAAGGTGGCGAGAAGCTGATAGATCTGGGAAGCTGTGAGCTGTTTATTTTGCATAATGCATTCATTTATTAATTTATTGATTTATTTATTTTGTCGTCATTCAGATGTAGACCATATTTTACAAGTTACAAGTCATGTGTTAAAATTACGAATAGAATTAAGGTACTGCTTTAATCTGGTTTTTGTCATTATAAAATCAATAGCTTCACTATGTTTATTGTAAGCAGTCATACTTTGATTTAGTGGACCAAATTTGGCATAATTTGTGCGATAGTTATTTGTAGTAAATATATTTCGAGTTCGCAGTTGCCGAGAAGGTTTGTAAAAATTAAACTTTGATAACAGTTCTACTGAGTCAATTCGATGCGATACTATATCGTTCACAAACGAAACCATTGCAAATTCACGACGCGCTTTCAATGTTTGAATGTTGATGAGCATGCAGCGTGCTTCATAAGATGGAAGAGGAAATCTTGTCCAACCTAATTTACGAAGAGCAAATAGTTCCTCATGCGTGAATGAAAAAGGTGACCAAACTATGCTGCAATATTCAAGTATTGATCTTACATATGAAATGTACAGTAATTTTATTGTATACGGGTCATGAAAATTGTAACTGAATCGTTTGATAAAGCCAAGCATATTATTTGCTTTGTTGATAACTGTATTATAATGATCATTGAACGTTAGTTTTGAATCAATTATAACTCCTAAATCCCTAACTCGTTCACACTTTTCTACTGCTTGATTTCCTAATACAATTGTATTTTCTGGTTTGTTTCTTTTTCTACTAATAGCTGGTAGAGCGCTACTTCGTCGTAATCGCCCATTTCCGTTCTATCGATCAGAAAAGATCAATAATAGCAATGATTTCACCGTGCACAAATCAATAATAGATTTGTTCCGATGCGTTAGTTCATTAGCTACAACATAAATCCTGTTAGAGCGCATTGTATGAATATTTACGCTCATTGTTCTCAAAACAAAAGAAGCGTTCCTAGCGAATCCCCTTTTTCTACGTTTTTCCGTAGGACGAAGAAAATCTAATGGCGTTTCAATGCGTTAGGACGGAATTGAAACTCATAGAACGAATTTAGAATCAAGAAGCAGTATTAGATTTTGAACAATATCTCAACAATTTGTGACTCTTTATCAAACCCAACGGTACGTATGGAAAGGTGAATAAATTTGCAAGTCATCTTTGACAGAAATATTACATTTTTTGTTTAAACTCGTTCAGAAAAGAGAGGTAAAGCGCGGGTTGTGCTTAGTAGGACGGAAATTAGATCGAAAACCCTATTGATTTACATTTTTGAACGTTTAGTTGCAGGAGGCTTTTGTTACACCAAACATAGAATAAGTTTATTTCAATCTGGTACCTATGTCTGTATATCTTCTTTATTTCTTATTTCTAGAAAGAGCTTCATGTCATCCGCATAGATTAAAACTTTTATGTTTTTAAGAATAAAGGAGATGTCGTTTACAAATAAAATAAACAAAAGAAGGCCTAGATGCGAGCCTTGGGGGACTCCAGAAGTAACAGTGATAGGGTTTGATTTTTCACCTTTGAATCTAACTATTTGTTGGCGATTAGTTAAATATGACTCAAGCCATTTGAGAAGTCCAGGTTCAATTCCTATTTTTTGTAATTTGAAAAGAAGCATGGGTATATCAATACAATCAAATGCTTTGCTATAATCGGTATAGAGTGCTTCTACATGGTTTCCATTATCCATTGCAACCAAAGAATAGTTGACGAATTCAAGTAAATTTGTATTAGTTGATCGTCCTTTGAAGAAATCATGTTGCATGTTAGTGATTCTGTTTTTGACCTGATTGAATAGTTTTTCATTGACGATCGCTTCAAGGATAGTGTTCGCAGTATCAGTTGGGATGTTGTCCAATATTTGCGTGGTATCTACACTATCTTCAAAGATGTACCAGCAAGACGAGCGTTTATCACGATGTATTCTGGATCTACCATATTCCCGTTAAAGTTTTGCGGTCACCGATGGTTGGAAAATAGTGCTGCTGTTCAGAGGCAGGGCGAGTCACTTTTTAGTGACTTGGTTACTTTTTTCAAGTCAGTTGCAGTCTCTTTTTTAAGGCCAAGTCACTAAAGTCACTTTTTCTTGTAATAAGTAACTATTTTCAACTTTTTTAGCGTAAATTTATTTCAAGATTGATTATTCTTTACGTTGTGACGTTTAATCGTCTTTCTCTATGTATGGATGTCTATTCATTTTTCTGGATAAAATTACCTCAGTTTTCCAAGTAAGTATGTCCAAAGTCTAAAAATATTCAATGTCTTGAAGTTTCGTATTCCATGTACAAATTTAAGCTTCGAGAACATCAAGACAGATCAGAGAATGAAAGGGTCGTTCAAATAATTTCAAGGAAATATTAGAAACCTTAAAAAAGTTTCGAGAAGCTCAGTGAATTTCCGAAAACTTCAGCAAAGCTCCGAGAGAATTCCTGGAAATTTTATGAACATCCGGAAAACGTGATAATATTTTAAGGGTGTTATATCATGGAGATTTCAAGAACTTCAAAAACGTGAAAATTTAGCTTAGTTGGTTAGAAGACATAAACGAAGTTCCATTAATAAAAAAATAGAGAACTTTTAGCAAGCAGTGATATATTCTAGAAATTCCAGAGAACTAAATTTAGATATTTCTAGATAGTTTAATGATATTCAGCGAAGTTCCGAGTACTTCGAGGATGATCAGATAGCTTCAGAATAATCCTATTAACTTAAGCAAATTTGCAGCAACTTACAAGGAGTTCCGTGGAATTATAGGGTATTCCAAGAATTCTATGATTGATCCTAAAACGTCAGAAGCGTCAGGGAATTATGAATATCAGAAAATTTGCTGGATTATTAAACAAATTTAGAGAACTTCAGGTAAGCATAGACAGGTTCAGGGAAAAGCGAGTGTTAATAATGGTTATAATACTTAAGGAACATTGTCAAAACTTCAAGACAAATTAATTAATTTCAGTAAAGTTGCGGGTTCTTAAAAAATACTGATAAATTCAGGGTAGTCTAGAGAACTTTAAAGAAATTCAGTAATCGTTTAGGCACCAAGAAAGTCTAGACTATTGAAGAAGTTTTAAATTAATGTCGATAATTTAAGGGAAGTATTATGAACTTCAGAAAAATCTTGAGAACTTCAGTGAAAATCATAGAAATATATTAATTATTTCGTTCTAATTCCATGAAAATTTCGGGAGCACAAAAGTTCCATAAATTTAGAAAAATTTTGGAAACATTACAGAAAGACAATGGTCTTCAAAAACCAAAAAAAAAAATATTTTTTTTAAATTTATTTCTTACTGAAGATTAATCCACTGTGAATCTTAAAAGTTCAAAGTGTGAATAAAAATATCGAGAAAAAATAAATGGTTTTATATTAAAATTCATCATTTTCTTTAAATTTCCTTAGTAAGATTTTTAATTCTTTGAGACTTTCAGGTATTTTAGGGAAACAAAAAATTTCCTGAAGATTCCCGGTTTTCCAGATTTTTGAAATTAATAGATACCGTGACTAATACCGTGGGTTTGGTTATAAAGTTTCTATTGCATATGTCGCTTTAAAGGTTCATATCGTACATAAGTGTTAGGTCTTAGGTCACTTTTTAGTCACTATTTTTACAACTTTAAGTTACTATTTGGTCACTTATTTATTCAACATGGTCACTAAAATCACTATTTCTGACAGCAGTGATCGCTACCAGCCCTACAGAGGGCAAAATTACTCCGCAAATACGAAAATTTATTCAAGGCGTCCAGAAAGACAAAATCGAATCAACGTCAGCTTCCTACCAAGATGTTAAAAACGGTTTGAATGACTCGCTGCTGATGGCAAATAGTAAGTTCAGATTACAGATGTATAACATGTTATAGCACTATCTTGATGGTGGTTTCTGTGTTGCAATTATTTGACAACCGTTATAACATGTTATAACTCTGTAGTAGTCTGAACGTCGTGGTATTAAGCTAGCTTTCTTCAAATCAGTTTGTGTGGAAGTTAAGCCATTTCAATGCGAATTTCAGACGGACAACCCTATGGTGTCTTTTTTGTGCAACGCGATGTCTCAAATGGTTAGAGGCATTATGGAAAGGTTCATTAATATTGATTATCTGAACAATATTGCACAGGTAAATGCACATTTGATCAATTAGATCGCAAAAAGGAACAACTGGACGTTTTTTGGCACAGGTTATTGGTCGGCGTATTTAGAACTATTGTTGGTTGTGAAAATGATTTGCTGCTTATCGCATGACAACGCCAATGCAGAGAGAGGTTTTTCGGTAAATGCAGAATATCTTTGTGAAGACATGAGGACTTTCCTATCAAGGCCCAAGCGCAATGACAGCGGAACGGCAGTGGCAGCGGAAAAGCCCGATCTGAGTAAGCCTATTTGTCGGATTAAAAACTAGTTAGAATCAAATCGACTGCGGTTAGGCATCTTGATGTCATTTGTGACAATTGTCAAACTTTCCGTTTCCGTTCCGCTTCCGCCCACATTGCGTTTGGGCCTTCAGTCGTAGCGCAACGTCAGATCTATGATGGTGTTACTCATGCAGGCGGGTTGGAAAACTTACAAATTTTGAATAAACTTATTCAGCGAGTTCGAAAAATCTCATTCGCTTTCCATGTAGACAAGGATCCATTTGCCATGTCTGTGGAATTTTGCTATGTCTGTGGTTTTCATATGGAGTTCCAGAGAGTACGAAACTGACTAATGCATGAGCAGTGCATCCTCAGGTTCGGTTGCCAAAGCAAGAATAATCACTGCTATGCTATTTTACAATAATTTATATGTTAAGAGAAAGGATCGTCTACGGGTTGATTTTTATTTGGCTGTGAAATTATGAACACAAATTGAGAGCTTGGTGACATTGATTAAATATTCATATTTTTACTTAGTAATGAATAGTGAGCCTAGTTATGAGCAGTAGTTATTCATTATTATATTGTAATATGTATTTATAGCCCTAGGCATATTCACATCCTTCCTAGATAGTCGGTCATATGTTTTGTAAAAATTGTATTAGTATCAAGTTCTGTTGTACGTGCCATGAGTATGCTATTCTTGATATCTTCGAAAGCTTACCCTGCTGCTCATTTTAAACTAACCTTAATTTACACTACGGTGTAATAAAGCACATCACGTTGTAGCTTCTTAGGTTAAAATAACGAAGTTTTGATGACTGGAATATTTCTTAAAACCGACTGGAAAGTCAGGGAATTTTATTTTCGACTTTGAGTCGACACCCTGACATTGATAGTATTTCTTTCCTCATTTACCTCCAATGGAGGTTCATTTAACAGCAAGTGCCCATCTATTTGGGGTAAATGACGGCTTTGGCACCCTTTGACTGTTTTCGGCAGCCAAAATTTAAACGCTAATTTCGTTGAAGCATTTTTTTATTGATTTCAATACAGAATATTGTTGAAATCAGAAAAATACGTCTCTATGTGTGCGTTTAGTTTCCTAAATACACGAAAGTGGTTAAGTTTAGTTATCGGTGAGATTATAAAAATTACCGTGTGTACGCATGACAATATTTATTCCAAATAAAAACACAATATCTCGAGTTCGATTCCACCCCTGATGCGCATACTGATGACGATTGACGGCAATGCGAGCTGAAGAGCAGAGTGGGCAGACCTACAGATTTTTTCGAGTTAGCTTTCGATTAACAAACTAAAATATTTAACAATCACCAATTTTTCGCATTTCTTGAAAATAGTACTTCAGCTTGTAGAGTGATTCTACATTACCCAATTATTGAATTCAATTTGGGAATAACATATTAATTTTCACTTAAGCGCTCTATATATATGGTTTCCTCTCACTAACATTGTTAAATGCAACACAGAAAAAAAAGTTGTTGAATATTACATCCAAACTGCTGCAACCAGGTCAATCCATCGCTTGTGTAATATAACGTTGTACGATGTACATCGATTTTGCGAACAAAATTACATCCATTGATATAATATTGTATCTGCTTTTTGCTATTACATCATTATTTCATACATCAGCTTGAATTACATTGATCGATATTACATTTTTTTTTTGCTGTGAATATGGACCTGTAGTAATATAGGATTACTACATTGGCGCCTTAGAAAGCATCTATCTTAATATCAATGACTATTTTTAACATCAAGTATGAGTAGTAGTAATTTGGGCTTTTATGTTAACATAAATATAGCCTACCGATAAACATACAAATAAAAACGCCGGTAATGAAGGAAATAGTTTGGCCACCCTGCGCGAGCAGTCTATTTTCACGAAAATTTAATGTCTGATCAAACGTCGACGTCGTCGCGAGAGAAAGGAAAACAAGCACCTCCGTTGTGGTCGCTTTATTTTGCAAAAAATATACTATCAAAAAGTGAAATTCTAGCCCGATACTAGTGAAAAAGCACGAACGAAGGTGCGCTGCAACTATTGCAACTGTTTTTGGCTGGTTTTGTGCGTGAAGAACACCAAAAATGTGCATTTGAAAAAAGTGAATCCTACTATCAGTACCGTGCTTATATATAGAGAGTAGGTAGACTTCCTAGGGTGATGGACTTTTCTTCCTATACCTTTTATTTTTTCGGCGCGGCAGCGGTGGCGGAGCACTCTGCTGCTGTTGTTGGGGTTGTTATAAAGTGCTTTGTACAGAAACGCGAGGAGGGATACTCGAGCGCGGAGGGTGACAAACGAGAAGAGTGGAGAAAAGTGTATTCAGTGTTTGACCTCACACACATATTCTCGCGAGGCCGTTCGTTTTGCGGAACAAGAGCAGCAGCACAGCATTATATTAGAGGAGTAGTAGGTAGGTTCCACGGGGGGGAATACGCACTGCAATTTTCGTGGAGAATCGCCTTGCCACATCTCGCGACTGGCTACTGCCGCGGTTGTTCTGGGTTACATGCATAACGATGATGCGATGATAATGTATAGGTAGGTGCTAGTACGCGGGTCGTCGACAGCATAGATATCAATATTGGACGTATTTTAGTGTTTCGATGTTTCTTCTGCTTGTGCGTTTCTTTAATCATGTAAATATTAAAGTATGCCGCATTATTGCAGTCAACATTTTTTTTATTGAAACAAACATTGCGATAGAGTGCAAATTCGCTTTGCATTTCTTGGAACATGGTACAATAATTATCGACAAGAAAAATGTCATCAAGATATACTTATAACATGTTATAGCTATTCTGTCTTGCCAGCGTTTAAACCTTTACCGCCCAGAAGATTTCTGCACAACAAAAGTTGTTGTGTTTTGCATAAATTGATGATCTGCATCGAAAAAACATGAATTTAGTAGAATGGATCACAGGTGATCCATTGGACATAACATCATTTTAAAATAGTAAATAAAGGCTTTTTTTTCAGGTTTAACAATAATTGTTTAAATTATTTAATCAAACTTGAAAACAGGTTGCTTATCTATCCTTGCGGTTGTGCAGTGTGAAAGTCATAGAAACAATTCAAATCTTTTTTTTTAAGTGGTATTTGACATTTTTAACATTAAAAAAAAGCGAAACGGCTGCGGTCATTGCAATAGTAGCAGCAATTCGAACGGTCCTCTAAATGGGCGACATAGTCATATCTTACCTCAACGGATGGCCCAGGTAAGGTGACTCTTCCAGCGACGTGCGAACCTCAACCCGAGCCAGGTTACAAAAACAAACGTTTACAGTGACATTTGACAAACAACAAGCCGACCCAATCTTGATACCCGATCCAGGTTGGAACTGAATAAAAAAAAAATCGCTATTAGAATGCCTTCCTCTGCGTTTCAAAACTTGTTTACCGTATAGCAGCAAACTTTTCGCAAATTTTCAATCTAAACTTCAAAAGGTTCATATAATGAGTTGTGAGAACGTTGATTCTGATGACGGCGATATAGAAGCCAGGAATTGATCACTGCTACATACAATACCTCTTTGTACCAATAGCTGTGCGGTACAAAGCCACTAAGAAGTCATTCAAGTCTATTCCTCCCATATAGGGGAAAGCGGGGCAGTTTGGCTACCTTAAGAAAATCATCACTAATAATACAAAATTCAGTGCAAAATTCGAACGTTGTTCAATCAAATGGATAATTTCATGCTCTATTTACATCAAGAATACAAAATTAATATTAAAAGCAAAGTTTTGAACCTTATAAAAAAAGATTTCGTTTTGTAACCGAAATTAAACCGTTTTGGTAAAATGGGCACCCTATCGGGGTGGTATGGGCAAACTTGTAAACAACCGGTATGAATATTCTATTCCCTTGAGGCTTTATGCCGGTTCAACAATGATCAGTTTCAGTATACACATTAATTTTTTCTCCGAACTTGGTATATTTTTTGATGAGATTAGAACAGCTGAGCACTCGGCAATTGTTTCGGTAAATATACCATATCAGCCGTAACATTTGATAACGGCACAAAAGCTTTTGTAAACAAACTTTTTAAGGCCCTTTACACGCGAAACGAAGTACGCTCACGCAAACCAACAACACCTTTCCGAAAGTGGTATTGGTTTGCGTGGGCGTACGTTGGTTAGCGTGTAAAGGGCCTTAGAAAGTTTGTTTACAAATGCTTTTGTGCCGTTATCAAATGTTACGCCTGATATGGTGAGGATTCGGTAGTTAAGGGACTAGCTGTCAAATATTATCGAAACGATTGCTTTAGCGTTACGATAAGTCAGTAATTTTTTACAAAGCTTTCGGCTAAAATATCCAAATATGAGTCGATAGCCGAGTATGCGATTAAGTGTGTAGGAGACGATGGCCACCCTATGCTTGAACTAAAATTTAATCAAAACTGCATAAAATTTCCGCGATAAAGTTAGTGATTATTGATCTTTAGAGTACTTTGCCTAATTAAATTGATTTTCAGAAAATTTCCTTTTGATTTGATGATGTTTTATCACGAATCAAAAACAGACTAAAAAATGAAAGAAAAAAATCATGCGGGGTAAGGTTGGCCACCCCTAGGGGTAAGGGGTAAAAGGTTACTGTCTTCGGCAAAATTGCACAGTCGGTCAAGGCGGTTAGAGAACCTTAATAAACAAATAGTGGGGGTGACAATGGGTCAAAACATCAAAATTTGTCGTTTCCTACCTTATAACATTCACATTTTAGCAGGAAAATCAAATTTTAAGCATGTGAATATATTCATCAACGACTAACATGGCAATGGCTGATTGAAATTGATATCTCATTTCACTAAAATTGTATAAAAAATATACCAATGTAAAACCTTATGTGGTGTGACATTGAGCTAAAACATATATTTGGTTACAATATATCAAAATATACAAATGTTAGCTGTGTTAGTAGTCGCTTTCCCGATTCGGGCTTTTGTTAATTTGTTTTTTAATAAATTAAATTACATTATTAAAGTAAAGTTACGTTACAGTTATTATTATTCTGCATTTTCGAAATAAAATATAATGGAAGCTATTTAATTGCCATTCGATTTCCGTAATGAAAAAAAAAACTTAAAATTTGGGTAGCTTTAGTTTTTTGTTTGTTTTAGTGTTTATCGATGATTTAATGACAAGATGACTTCGTTTTTTGTGAATGCGGACAATTCAACTAGGTGACTCAGTTGTAAGAGAAGAAAGGCTTCAGATACTGAATGAGAGAAAGTGATAGTTAGCTTTATTTGTCCATTGAGTATGCAATGACGATGATGGCTGCGTTCAAGATGAAATTCAATAAGGTTAACTACCCCATTTCCGACCTATTAAGCACAACCCGCACTTAGTCTTTCTTAATCTAGCGCAGTTTAGCGGCAAACGGAATGTTATTATTACTGATGGCTTCCAAATTTATTTACTTTTCCGTACGTACCGTAAGATTTGATAAAGAGAAACCAATCGTTGAGATATTGTCAACAGTCTAACACTGCTTCTTGACGCCAAACTCGGCCTACAGATTCTAAACTCGGCCTAACGCATTGAAACGCCAATGAATTGACTTCGGCCTATCGAATGAAGATAAAAATTGATTCGGTCGGAGCGCTTCTTTTGTTTTTGGGAATAATGGGTGCAAACCTTCATATCACGCGTTCTCATTGACTTCGTTCGGTAGCTTATTATCTAAAGTATCGTACCAAACGTATAATAGACTTCTTAACTCTGAAATTATGGATTTATTTGAAGTTTTCTGCTCGATAGGCCCAAAATGGGCGATTAGGCCGAAGTAGTTCTCTACCCTATGGGAGGTATTCTTAAATCGAAAATCGTCATTAGCAGCGATAGTTCTCTTGGTCCGTTTTGCTGAACGTTCTAGATACACACATTCAACTGCTTGCGCAACTCGCTACCCAATCAGAATGTTGTGTATGCGTAAATAAACCGTTCAACTCTATCGCATCTCTCATTTCCTTAACCTTCTCTTACCCGCAACTTACCACTTACTGGTTTTCCCCAAAAAGTCAGCTAATCTAATTTCATCTTGGCTTCATTTTTGTGCATGCAAACAATTTAACGAGCCGAGTCAGTTGTGCAAGTAGAAAGGCTAACAGATTGTTTGGATGCGGTTTTCAACAAATTCGATTTTTGATAAATTTTAGGCCTTTTTGGTTTTCGGCCTTTTGTGGTACCTTAGAATAATTTCGGCCTTTTGTGCTTCGGCCTTCTGTACGGGTCCCCTGTGAACATTTTTTAAAAACGTGTTTTTGCTACTATTTATTACATTGAATTTACAGAATTATTTAAATAAAATTAATGTTGATTAATGTTATCTACACTTTACTCCAGGAGTTCAAGGCACATATTCTAGTAATCATTTTTTTTTTTATATTCAAGATATCGGTATCAATAAACATTTTTCAATTTTGGCCCATTGTCACCCACTAGGCCCAATTAATGAGGTACAGAGAGAGGTGGCGCAGATCGTGAAATAGGGTTGTATTGGTAAACCAAAAAATCAACGTAAAAGCAAGTAGTGACGTCACTACTTACGTGTACTTGCGTGTATCGTACAGTGGTTGTGTGAGTGATTGCTTCATCTCGGTAATCCATCTCATTGGGCCCAATGTCACCCCGTCTTGCGGTCCCATAAACGAGCGATAACCCAAATTGTCGAACTTTTCCACAAATGGTCTGGATGATACCCCAAACATGTCGTTAGGCAAAATAACCATACACATTTTATTAGGGAACAGTAGTACATAAGTTTCTCACTATGCGGCGCTGATGTGCAAGTCAATTTCCTGTATAAATTATATTTTATGATCTTTACTATTAAGAATGTTTCCGTCTTCGGGAAAGTTGTTCAAGTGATCAATATCTTCAAATTTGTGGGTTAGTTAGTTCAGAATTATCTCACTACGTTACACTAGTCTGCGTATGGACCTCGTAAAGGGTGTCCACGATGAAATTGCCACACTATGAAATTGCTCTAACTTTTTAACCGTTGGGTAGAATTTAATGAAAATTTGGGTGGATTTAGTTCATAGTGCATTATTTACATCCTGCAAGTTTTAAAGTCCTGTGATCAAAACTCGCGGAAATGAAGTCAAAAGAACAGCTCGTGCGTGATAAAATCTTGC